CCCCAAAACCCCAAAACCCCAAAACCCCAGATAAAAAATAAGTGCTTGAATAGCAGGGAATATGGCGTTCAGAGGATATATTTACTTCAGAGTAAGCAGCTTGAGACAATCATGTATTTGGCAGAGGTGGATTTTGAAACACATTGGATATGGAATAAATGTCCTCAATTAGGATCAATGTAGTATCTTCCGCATCTCCTCCCTCACTCCTCACTCAAATACTCCACCTATATCTCACTCAACAAATTCACTCAATAATCCCAACTCCTCTCCTCTACCTCCTCCAGCCCAAAACCTTCACATTCTCTTTTAAAAATCTCTTAATTTCTTCTGACAAGTACTTCTCTTAAAAACAAACAAAAAAATAAAAAAAACCAAATACCAGTATTTAAAAAATTTTGTTATTTTTGTTAGTGATTTTTGGTAACTGATGGACCATGTACAGATGAGGAGACGTGGATGGTTATGAAGAGAAAGAGGTACAAGGGGGGACAAGAGTTGAATGGGGTCTATCGGAGAGGAAGAGGAAGGTAGTGGTGAAGGAAAGGTGGAAATTTAGAAAGGAGGTGATGACCCAATGGGATTTGTAGGTGTTCCAGCGGCGTTGGGTGTCTTGGAGGTGTTGTTTGGTGATGGGTGAGGGAGAAAGGGTGTGTTTTGAAGGAGGATGATGTAGATCTTGCTGGTAAGGAATTTAAGGCAGGGATTGATGTAGAAACTCCAGATGATTCATAGCGTTTGTAATGGAACAGCGATGCAAAGAATAACAAGGGACATGAATCGATAAAGAAAATCCAATATACTAAGTCTTGAAGTGATTATTCAAAAATCCCGGTTTGTGAGAATGAATGATACTGTTAGAATCAAGAATCCAACCCATTTACGAGTCCAACTGTTTCTACTTGGATTTGGAGATAAGTAATGAAAAATTATTGCAATTATATAACTTATCTGAAAGAACAAAAAGAAAATTTCAAATCTTCTCCTTTGCCAGCCTGATTGATCTATTTCAAATATTATTCTCCAGAATTACATTGTGAATCATCACCTTTTGTTTCTCTGATATCCTCAAAATCATCATTAATCACGCCTTTCAGTAAGTATTTTATTGAATTTATTTCTGTCCTATTTACCTCTAAAAACTGACATTAAAACAAATGAAAATTGCTTTTAGGTTTTACTTTAAAGTTTAATAAGCCATAGGAGCTGAAAATTGATATATCTCTCTCATATTTGAATGGAACTCAAAATCTGTTTACAAAGGCTTAACTCGATCATCTACATGTATGACTCCAAATATATAAACAACAGGAGAACAAAGAACAATAGTTACAATATAAACAAACAATAGAGACTCATTTGCTCTTTCAAACACAGGAATTATTAATTTACATAACATTTCACTACTTTCCCTCCCCAACGGGGTTTTGGGGTTTTGGGGTTTTGGGGTTTTGGGG